ATTGAGACAAATCCAGCTTGGAGAAAGATGATCAACATCCAAACAGAAGAGTATCATTTCTTTAACATGGAGAATAGATGGAAGAAGGTAAATGCTGCTTGTTTCACTGTTTCTCCATCATAGCAGAACATCATTGTGGTGAACCTGGTTGCATCCTGAAGCAAAGTTTTCAGAAGAGAGTCTCACCCTGAACAAGGAGCCCCAGGGTGGCCAGCAGTAGAGTCAGTGACATCATCATTGTGCTGCCGGCGTGTCAGTGGCTCTGAAAGGCCTGGACAGCCACTGATCAACACTGGCCTCTTAAAGGCTGGGAGCAGAGAGGAAGGACACATATGCAAACACACAGAGTCAGTGAACTTTAGCTGTCCTCAACATATCATGCTGTTTCCTCCTCACTGCTGGGAGTACTGACTGTTTAAATCATCCTCACGCTGATTCACAGAAACTCACAATGCTGTATAATAATTTCATACTAATCTAAAACTAAATTAAACAGTTTATTTTTTATTTACTTAAATACAGAAAGAGAAAGACATGGTGCTCATACAGGTAACTGAAATTGAAAACTAAGCAACTAACTTCATTTTACAGAAAGTTACTTTCAACATTTTTACTCATCACTGACAACACTGGACCAAACATTATTAAGGTTATAAAAAAGTAAAATAGATCAAATGTGGATTATAAGAAACTATCAATTATATAACTTAAGGATTTAAGAGTTGTCATTAGAAGTGTAAATTACAGTATGCTGTACATCTACATCTACTCCAGAAATATGTTGCTCTCTCTGTCACAGTGTTAAACTGGTTCAGTCCCTAACTGTCAGGAAGAGATGATGTAGTCTCACTTGGTTAACAGTCATCTGCTACTATCAACTATAATCCCACAAGGCTTCATCCTAGGTCCTCTTTTGTTCAGACTTTACATGCTGCTATTGTTTGATACTGCAATCTATGGTCTATTTAAATCACTCTATATCTTTTCAAAATATGCAGAATCAGTTAACATGTATATCTCCAAGTGCTCCCAAAATCCAGACAGACATTCTTAGATATTAGATATCACATTTTCTGAATGGCGTCCAGATTGTGTGCCTCCACAGTGAAATATCTTACTGTAGTAAGATGGAAAGTAGAATTTCATACTGTACGCACAACATTTACTACTACTGACAGTAATTGATTAAAAATCTCCAAAATATTTAACGAAAAAATACACACCACCATGCAATGTGCTCCCTCAACCACATATCACTCCTGTTGTCCAAAGCCTCCACTGTGTCATTGTCCCACAACAGATCCAATTTAAAGTCCTTCTCCTCACTCACAAAGCCCTCTATAACCAGGCCCCCTCCTACCTCACTGACCTGCTCCACTGCCGCACTCTGTCACAAAGCCTCCGCTCTTCTGATGCCAACCTCCTGTCTCCACCACCCAGGACCAAGCATCCAAACCAAGCCTTCTCCATAGCTGCACCCCCAACTCCATCCTCAAACACATCAGAGACTGTACAGATTCATCCACATTAAAATCACTGATCAAAACCAGTCTTTTCAGAATTGCTTCAATGTGTGATTGTATTTTTGGGGAGTTGTTTGATGATCTTTTTAACCTGTTGTCATTATTGGAAGAACTTATAATATCTGTACTAAATATCAAAATCAGTTCTCTGACAACCTTAATGTACTACATATCCAAACATTGCTTCATATAATCTATTCTGTCCCAAAAACAATCAGCATTGTTTGGTTACAAACCTTTTGGTTACTTGTAAAGATAGTTAAAGTAGTGCTTCAAAACCACCTTAGCTGTGTTAAAGTTCAAAAACCTTTGCAGACTACTTATGACAAAATACTGTCCTTCAGTTTGTTCAGGATCAGAAAAACTGTCTGAGGTTTGTGGATCAGTGTCTGAAGAATGTCTGTTTAAAGTTCAGAGGTTGAAGTTAATGAACGTCTCTTCTTTTGTGGACTACAGATGCAACTGCATTGATCTATGTCTGATCACATATTTTATGTTTTCAATATGTGAGTTTGTAATTTTCTTCCAGCTTTATGATCTTGATCTCTCTCTTGTGTCAGTTCTTCCAGATGGAGGTCAGGGTGACGTTTGCAGGAGAACAGGGGAACCAGGCTTCATCTTAAAAAACCTACATACATTTTATTGATCCACCTGTTGGTTCTGTGGAAATTAATATTTGTTGAGTGGACAATGATAGACAGGAGTGACTTTAAATTCTGCAAAATATGAGGGCAGATATCTTGTGCTGTGAACATGTCTGGGTTGCTTCAGTGAACTGTATCAGTCTCTGCAGTAGCTTCCAGCTGCAGCAGTCAGTTCAGTTTCTGTTCAGTCTGACTGAGGGAGGTTTTTGTACGACGCTTTTTCACTGTGTGAACACATACTGACTGTTGATAAGATGAGCACTCTGACAGTAGTAAACTGCTGTATCTTCAGCCTGGACTCCACTGATGGTCAGAGTGAAGTCAGTGTTTGATCCACTGCCTGTAAAACGTCCTGGAATCCCTGATGCTCGCTCATCAGCCCTGGAAATAAGTAGTTTTGGAGCTTCTGCACCTCTCTGTTGGTACCAGTGCAAATAGTGTTTGCCGCTTGAAGACCCAACAAACACTTTTGGATTGACCCTACAGCTGATGGAGACGGAGCCTCCCACAGCAGAGCTCACTGCTCCAGGCTGAGTCACTGTGACCTGGCCTCTGGACTCTGAGGATACAGAGACAAAAACATAAAGCAGCGTCATGGTTCTGTGGGCTTCATTTCAGAGGGACGGATGTTCATAGAGGAGAGGAGTTTGATTCTCTGGACTTTACCTGTGAAGCAGCAGCAGAGGAGAGTCCAGATGAGGACGGAGATCAAAGTCATGTTTTTGATGAGGAGGATTTCTGTGTCTTCTGTTGTCATGAAGGACAGCTGTCAGTCATCCAGTGTTCAACTCTCAGGACTATAAACTCTCCCAGAGCACTGGAGCATGGTGCTGCTGATGCAAAGTGGCTCTCTATGGAAATGCTCTGACTGACTCCAACAGGGACTTGGATTACTCTGATGATGCTGTTTCTCAATGGATCAATCACTTTATCAGAGTATTGATTAACAATGTATCAGTGATCATTTTAATGTGGAATGGGCTTGATGACTGCACAATGATTTTCTTTCAGAACGTCTTCTGTCTGCTTTAATTTAATGCTAGAGAGATCATTATACAGAGAAGACTTTGAATATATTCCAGTGTGAACTGTCGGCATACTTAATCGTTCATTGAGTACACAGTATACACTACAAGACTGACTGATGTTAGTATGTGATTTCAAAAACAGCCAGTGACTCTGAAAGGCCGGACAGCCACTGAGAGAGGGAGCAAAGAGGAAGGACACATATGCAAACACACAGAGTCAGTGAACTGTAGCTGTCCTCAACATATCATGCTGTTTCCTCCTCACTGCTGGGAGTACTGACTGTTTAAATCATCCTCATGTAGATTACGGGAAACCACCTAATACTTTCTTGGTAATCAAAATGTACTGTTTCACTTTATATTTAGTACTCATATGTTTCTGTTTCCACGGTTACTGAGCTCAGAGAGGGAAGTGAAACACTGAAGACCAGTTTCATCAATCAATTATTGGTTTTATTTTGCACCTTTATTTCCATATGCTTTCATATAAAGTGAACATGGTACAAAAGTCAAAATAGCAAACGTAAGCAGCTCATCAGTTTATGATAATGGCTCAGCTCAAAGATGTCGTATGGTAGAGTTTACCTACACTTCATGTGACCATTGGGACACACAGGTCTCGTCACATTACATAGAAGTTGTATCCTGTAACTGTAGTATTACAGATGACCACCTGGTGTTGAAGACGTCAGCGTCAACGTTTGGCCGTTATGTTTTCCATCAAACTGGCACTTTTGAACTTCTCCCACAACTGTTGGTTAGTAAAGATCCTCCCACTGTATTAAAACAAAGGGAAAATCCCGATACTGTTGTTCTCTGTCATCATTCGTAGCCACACAGGTAGTGATCGGGGTTGATGCTGTGGTATCGAGGTCATATGCTCAGCTGTCAATCATGATGTGAAACCCACTTTTATAGCCTCAAATAACGATTTTAAACCAAATTTACTTCTGTGTATTTCTTCTGCTAACATCGGCAACGTGTTTTATGACCTGTACTGCAGTCTGCATCCGGTGGATGATAATGATAATCATTTCTGATTCCCATTTCCTGTTTGGTTTCCATAGTATTTCCTGTTACCTTGACGCTGAAACAGAGAAAAAAGGCTTCAGCCAGATGTGTTTAAGGGAGAACAGCACTTATGTGCTTATTAAATATTCTTCAAGTCATTTTCATGGCTTTAAAATCATGACTAATTATCTGACCTATGTGTTACCATAAATTTAAGTAGTACAAAGACAGCAACTACAGTGTCTTCTTCTGACAAAATCTAACACTAATTTTATTTCTTTTACATTAAATCTGTATTTCCTATTGTTTGCATGTATAAAAAGTTAAAATAGTATATTTCAGAAAATCAAATATAATTTTGAGATGTTTAACCCATTAGGATGAAATAAATGAATAAGAATCAATAAGTTACTAAATGTTAAGTTACATAAATTATGACGTGTGCAGACAGAGAAACATTAAAAGTTCAGTTTCAGTTTGGATTAAAGTAGTTCCAGTGGTTTGCCTTTGTGGGGCAGTACAGGGGCTATTAGGCTCTTTTTGACATTGACTTTACTCTACTGCCACTCAGTGGTTGAACCGGGAACTTCTGCCCCTAATGACAGCTACCACCATTAATACTAGAATCTGCCCTTTAATGCACAGATATGTAAAATATGCTTCAAACAGGTGTTGGTTACTAAAAATAATGCTGGTTGTTTAAAAGAGAAAAGTATTTCTTCCTCCTTTTACATTTTGTTCCCCGGAACCTTTGATTTGTTTCGTGTCGACGCCTTTTCCTAGTCGCACCTCAGCCACTTTGTTTACTTCCTCACCGCCGGTTTGTCTCCACAGTTATCGGCCCGGTTGAGTTCTTCTGGCGGTAATTTATCAGCTCCTTTAACGACATTAACTCACTGACTTCTGTTACTGACTTTAACGAATAACCGCTTCGACCAGTCAAACATGTCCGCGGACCAGAAGACCTTCCCCCCGCAGTCCTCTCCGTTCCCCCCGCAGTCCGCTCCGTTCCCCCCGCAGTCCGCTCCGTTCCCCCCGCAGTCCGCTCCCTTCCCCCCGCAGTCCGCTCCGTTCCCCCCCGGAGCGGCGGAGCGTGTGGGCGGTGAGGACCCGCACATCAGCCCGCAGTCGGAGATGGAGACTCTGCGGATGTTGGTCAACGAGCGGCTGACGGCGGCGGTGGACGACATCCTGGGAGTGTTCATGACAACCGTGGCCCGGTACCGGGAGCAGATAGACCGCCAGCGGCGACAGCTGGACAGCCTGAGGTCCGAGGAGGGCGACCGGAGCCGGGCGGCAGGTCGGTGTGTGTCCGCTGCGCCTTTATCATGTATTTAATCCCACAGTAACACTTTATAAAGAGGTCATCAATCATACATGATTCAGTATGTGCTCACACACTACTAAAAGCTCCCTGCACCAAACTCCCTTTAAGAAATATCACATTTTAACAATTCCTTGAAAAACTCTAGAAACACGAGCTAAAGGCCGTCATATGTCCACAGTCTGACTGTCAATACAGGATCAATATCATCCATAAAGATACAGTGTATACTGATCAATATCATCCATAAAGATAAGTGTATTATATCATCCATAAAGATACAGTGTATACTGATCAATATCATCAATAAAGATACAGTGTATACTGATCAATATCATCCATAAAGATACAGTGTATTCTGATCAATATCATCCATAAAGATACAGTGTATACTGATCAATAATCCATAAAGATACAGTGTATTCTGATCAATAATCCATAAAGATACAGTGTATTCTGATCAATAATCCATACAGATACAGTGTATTCTGATCACTGATCAATATCGTCCCTCCAGACTCTCTGCAGACGTCCTGGATTAAAAGGTGCCCTGATGATCAGATCCTGAGCGTCCAGTTTGACGAGGCGGACGCCGGTTCGTCTGCGGCTCAGATTAAAACCGAGGTTGGCGTTGGGGACTGTGGAGCGTCGGGACCAAACGGGGACTTTGATCCGACCGGCGGCTCAGAAGAAGGAGCGAGCGACGGCCGACTCCTCGCCGACTGCTCCGACGACACCGACGACAGCGGGGACTACTGGAGGGAGCCCGCCGGGGTTTGGAGACTGGAGGAGACGGGAGCGGCAGAAGGACGAAGTTCATCTCCGAGCGGGAAGGCGAAGAGCTCCGGAGATCAGCCTCCGCCGCCGGCGTTCAGTTGCAAAGTGTGCGGCGAGTCCTTCCACAAGGTCGGCTATCTGATCACTCACTGTACGGCACATCTGAAGGACTGCGGCCTGTGCGGGAAACACCTGGAGCTCACCGAGAGCCTGAAGGTTCACCTCCGGGTTCACCGACACTCCACGTTCCGCTGCGGCGTGTGCGGCCAGAGCTTCACGCTGCGGGGGAACCTGCGGACGCACATGAGGATCCACTCGGGCGAGCGGCCGTACGCCTGCACCGTCTGCGGCAAGAGCTTCGGCAGGAGGGCGACGCTGGTGCGGCACGTGCGCAGCCACACGGGCGAGAAGCCGTTCACCTGCACGTACTGCGGCCGCGGCTTCGTGGAGAAGGGCAACCTGACCGTGCACCTGCGCACGCACACCGGCGAGCGGCCGTACTGGTGCTCCGTCTGCGACCGACGCTTCAGCCAGCTGGCCTGCTTCTACAGGCACCCCTGTCAGAGGAGGGCCGTGGACGCCGAGTGATCCGGTTCTGAGTAAACCTCCTTCATGAGCCCATCATGAAAGAATCTCACAATCAGCTTCTACAATCTTAACGCCACAATCACCTGAAAGGAGCAGCAGGTGTGTGAGGGCGGTCTGATTCCAGTCCTTCACAGAACAGTTTCCAGTCCACCTGTTGATCCAGCTGAGGTGGTCTCTGTGAACCTCCATGAGCTTTTACTTCAACGAACGATTCTTTCCACTATCAGTGAATCAGCTGATCATCCTCTCAGTGAATCAGTAAATGATTTAAAGTGTGTAAAATGTTTATTTAATATACACACATTTTTAGGGGCTTTGTGCCTTTATTGGACAGGACAGCTGAAGATTGACAGGAGGGGGGGGCCTCAGGTCGGACCCGAACCCACAGCTGCTGCAGCAAGGACTCAGCCTCGGTACGTTCCGGCTCCACCAGGCGAGCTACGGGGCGCCGAGCTCACGTCCTCCAATGTCCCAAAGATATTCAGTTTACTGTCGTAGAGTTTCACATTTTAGAATCTGTGAACCCCGAAACCTCAACGAGTAACTGAAAATCAAAATAGTTGATATAATAGTTCACAACTAATCAAATGAAGCTTCAAGTTCTGCTCTTATTTTGAAGGGTGACTTTGATATTTTCCGTGTTCTTCTTGCTGCTGACGGCTCAGATTGTATCACAACTGGAAAAAATGAAACATTTTTAGCACCTTTGGCTTTATCTGCTCGCACAGTCGCAGCAGCTGGTTCACCTCCAGCATAATCACAAGGTAGACATCCAAAACAGCACATTTGTACGTGAAACTACATCATCAATACACATAACGGCTACCGAGGTGTTTTGATGATTAATGCTGTGTCATAGCGAGCCCATTTCCAGGCCAGTGATCTGGATCTGTGCCCGGATGGTAAAGAACGGGTTGAGGGGTGCCTGGTGTCGTGTGCTCTGTGTGCGATGGCTTTGCTGTTGAGGTCTGAGAGGTTGGGGAGAACAGTTGCAGGTGCTGATATGAGTTTGTTCCTACAGGAGGCCGTTAACATGCTGAACAACCAGCAGAGGAGGATGGGTTGGATTGTGCTTTTATAAAGCAGCAGCAGGAGGTCGGGGGTTGTCCAGAGTGAGTCCAAGATATCTGAAGCCCTCCACCATCTCAGCAGCTTCATTATTGATTCATTATTTCAGTGTGGGCTTTTACATAAAGGAAGCTCCCTCAATACTGGACCCACAAACACAAACAGTACAGTTATTCTTTACGTGGCGTACGCAGCTCGGACGGGATTCTCCTCCAACCGTGATGATTTCTTCAGGTTATTCTGGAGCCAGCACACAGTTTCTATCTGTCTGTCTGTCTGTCTGTCTGTCTGCCACCAGTGACACTCAGCTGATGTTGATTCAATAAAAACAACACTGAAAGAGCATGTTGGTTGTGTAACGTGTTTTTTTTAGGTTTGATAGTCACAGAAAGTCAACAGGGAATATGTGACCTATAAAACATATATATAAACAGGGTGCGGGGAGTGGGATAATCTGAGATTAAAGGGGACATATTCTGCAAAACCAACGTTTTAATCATTTGATTATGTACATTTGGGACTCTATCAGCAGCAACGTGTGAAAAATAATGCCTCCGTCAGGTTAACTTTGGTAATAATACTTTCAAGTTAAAATATCAGACTATGAAATATGGATACAGTACAGTTAACAGTTGGTTACTGAGCAGTTTTTAAACCACATAAACAATTTACTTTATTAGATGAGTGATTCCTTCAGTTATGTTGACATGTTGTACAGGATAAAGTATTCCAGGCATATAATATGTTAAACTTCACTGAGCTGTGTAGACTGTAGGTCACTGCTCACTGCTGTACCTGGAAAGACAAGCATAAAACAGTGTTGGTTCTCATAGTTAAGGTATAAACACTAACATTATGTGATAGATAGCGGTTAATATATATATATATATGTATATGTAGTTAATATATAGCAGTATTTACCTGAGGAAAACGTCACAGAAAGCTGTAATCCTGATTGTTGATGTTGTTCATTTCTCTGTGATTTCAGGTCAGACTCCCGCTCTAACATGTCCGCTGGTGAAGTTTTTGCTTTAGAAGCAGTTATTGAATTAATATTGACGGTAGAAATGCAGATAAACTCAGTAACAGAGAGGAGCTACCTGCCGGCAACGAAGGGGAGGGGCCGGAGCGTCATCCGCGTCATAATGCCGACCAATCAGAGCAGACTGGGCTTTTCGGGAGGGGGGTCTTAAAGAGACAGGTGCTGAAACCGATCAATTCAGACAGAGGCTGAAAAGAGGTGCTCAGCTATTCGTGAATATCAGTCACGTGACCTTTTACGTCATCCGCTCTTTTCCCAGCTTACTAGCGCCATCTTGAGTTCCGACCGAGTACCGGCGCAGACAGTACTGACGAGCATTAGCTAGCTGGCTACGATTTACGGATTCGTATGGATACAGTAAACAGCTACGACAGACAACATTTCACACCTCGACTGCCATGAAAAGAAACGCTACTTTCAAAAAATATCATCGTTAGGCTGCCAACGTTATAGTGTGAACAGATTGGCTAACCACTTGCTAATGAGTAATTGAATAATATTATACTCCCAACACTGTTTGCAACAGACTTAGCGATCTCGCCGAATCAGGTACTCGACACGGCGGCAGACAAGTTAGAATGTGAGTGACGTCAGGTGATATTCATGAATAGGAAGTATGAGAAAAATAATGTGTGTTTTAAACATTAAAACATCTAAACCTATTGTGGTAGAGCCACAAAATAATAATAATATGTCTCCTTTAAAGATGGAAGTGTATTTTATTTTAATTTGAGAAAATGTTGGTTGAGGTTCAGTCTTTCTGCTATTTGTGCAACTTCTTCGGCATGAAGGGATTTTCTGTTTCGTTGTTTTGTGAAGTTAATCTCTGAGAATCCGTTTGGAGCACTTTTGAACGCATTAGTGAGTTGGAACCGACCACCAATTCATTGCCCACAGATTTTAAAGGCATACTATGCAGTTTTCCGGTTTTGTCAAACAGCTACCCCTAGAGTCGCTGCGGAGTACTTGTATTTAACGTTAACTGTCGCGAGATTAGGCGGGCCGCCACCTTTCAGACTTGCATTGCTGGTTCTGCCAGCGGCGTCCCTCTCCTGCGTTGCTATCGGGATGATTCGCTGTACTACGAGTTCGTTTACCATCGAAATGACTTCGAAGCTGTTCTATTAAGGTAAAAATCTTGCATAGTGTGCCTTTAATATAATATGTCTCTCTCTATATACAGTCTTTGTACACAATATAACAGTATCACATGAATAATTAAAAATGGTCACCATCTTAAAACATTACTTATCTGAATTGCAATATGTCGGCCTACCTGTGGTATTTTAATGTTAGAATAATAATGGCAATAATCAAACATTTGTTTCCGATCGCAGTGACTGCTGAGGATTAATCCATCCCGGCTGTTGACTGCACACAATAAATCGCCATGGTAACTCACAGCTAAATTGATCGTTTTCTAGGTTTTGTGTAATAACTTAAATAACTTAAGCTTATTAACTTCTGCTACTCTGGGTAATGTGTACGGAAGAGGATTGGGAATTTTGATTTAAACTCTGAAAATGTCAATAAATCAAAAAAGTGCAAAACATTACAGAAATGATCCTGTCATTAATTCACATTATTGGTATTTATTAATTACACTTGTTATATATTGTAGTATACATATTTTGCTGATCTAATTTTATATTTTGTATATACTGTAGTATATTTTACATATTTTAAATGTTTATATTTCTGTATATATTGTAATATAATGCACATATTTTGACATTTTAATAATTATTTATATCTCTTATAAAGTCGTGTTTAGTAACTTGACAATCTGATTTATTTATTTCAATATAACTGCTTTTCACTTCACTTTTGTTTCCAGGTTAGTTTTATTTTACTGAGACACATTTTCTTACAGATTTTTATTTTTAAAGTGAAATTTGACAACAATAATAATAATGTAGAGCGGGAAGCTGTATGTAAACATCCTCTCCAGCAGGTGGCGGTAAACACACCTCATCCAGTGAAGAACCTCACTGAGCATGCGTGCAGACACTTACCGGAAGGGTAGCAAGTAAACAACCGACCACGACGCTCGCTTCGGAGAGCGAAGTTCTCCGGTTCCTCTCCGCCGCTCCGCCGCTCCGCCGCTCCGCCGCTCACACTCCCGCTGAAATGTCTAAAATCGAGATGTTGAGGCTGCTGATCAACCAGCGGCTCACGGAGGCCGCGGAGGAGATCTTCGGGGTGTTCGGGAGAACCATAGCCGAGTACGAGGAGGAGATCTCCCGCTCCAAGCTGGAGATCGACCGCCAGCGCCGGCTGCTGGATCTCTCCAGGAAGCCGCAGATTTCTCTGCAGGTCGACGGTTCAGGTGAGGAACCGGTCCGGTGCCCGCAGGGAGCGACTCTCTGCCGGCTTACAGACCCCAGTGAGCCGCTGAATGGAGGTCATGTTTGTCCAAATGTGGAAACTACACAAACAGAAACAATAAACTTATCAATGCATTGATTCCCGAAAAATCACAGTTTTCATAAATATTCTAGTTATCAATAAGCATATTATTATTACTTCACAGTAAATATGATCAGATATTATAAATCGTACATTTATATGTAAATTGCAAAAGGTGCAATTTTTTTAAATGTATTTAACACTTACAGTAACAATTTATAATTCAATTCAATTCAATTCAATTTTATTTGTATAGCGCCAATTCATAACAGAAGTTATCTCAGGACACTTTTCAAATAGAGCAGGTCTAGACCGAACTCTTTATAACATTATTTACAGAGACCCAACAGTACCACCATGAGCAAGACCTTGGAGACAAGGGCAAGGAAACACTGCCTGTTAAAAGGCAGAAACCTAGGACAGATCCTATTATAAAAAGGGTACAAATCATAAATGAGTCATGGTGATTTAATGGATTAATACATACAGAATTTATCACGACAAGCTCCCTGCACCAAACTCCCTTTAAGAAATATCAAATTTTAACAATTCCTAACGTGTTCGTAAAACACGAAACTCTAGAAACACAAAACAATGTCCACAGTCGGACTTTCTCCAGATTGAAGAAAACATGTTTGTTTGGTAAAGACGTTTGTGTCACATCATCAGGATTTTAACAATTGTTTCCAACATGAATTGCAAATCATATCACAGTCACAATATCTGTCAAAAATAACCCTAATATGATGTTTTTACTGTATCGCGCAGCCCAAGGTATCAATAAGTACTTTTATTGATACTTGAGGACGAATATAAACCAGTTTTTCTTTCATTTAACAAAGTTTTCAAATGTTAAGCACAAACAGTTAATAGTTGATAACTCACTGAACTTAATCAAATAACTTCTCTGCTCCACCTTTACACATCACACGTGACCAGACTCTTAAAACTCATAAAACCATGTTAATGTTAACAATTTGTTTAGTGTTAATTAGCAGGGACAATACCTGCATTGTACCACTGTAGTTGTCATATTTGCTGAACAAAACTCAGGAGAAGCTGCACAATTAGTTAGTATTTCACATCTGTGCTGAAGGAATTAAAGGCCTGTCCCCAATAAAGGCAGCGGGACTTCAGTGATTTAAGCAAAAAAACCCGGGTTAAGTTTTTTGTTGGCTAAAAGCTAATGTTCATGTTCACTAATGATGTGCAGGTTACAGAGATAAAAGATCAGTCTTAATAAATACAGTAATAACAGTCCCTTCTAGTGGAAGCTCTCGTTAACCTTGAGCCAAGACTGTTTAAGAGGTGGTGCATTTTTGTGTCGTATCATAAAGAATATTGGAATATTGGAATATTTGGAGGTTTCCTTGACTAAAAATACAACCAGCTGCAGGTTTTGAACGCGTCCTGACTCTCTTCTTTGTTCTGGTTGGCAGCGCTCTCTGAGCAGCCGGAGTGGAGCTGCAGTCTGGACGAGATAAAACCTCCTCACATCAAAGAAGAGGAGGAGGACGCGGAGGAGGAGGAGGAGGAACCGTGGCCGTCCCAGCTGGAGGAGACGCCTCAGACTGCGGAGCAGAACGACGTCAAGTTTGTGTTGTTCCAGAGCGGCAAACAGGATAACGACCACATGACCTCCACACTCTCAAAGCTGTCGCACCAGGAGCTGGAGGACTCGGGGCTGGACCAGCAGCCAGGTACCTCAGTCCAGTGCTCGGACCTTGACGAGGACGCCCCTGAAGCTTCGGATCCAGCTTCAGGTAACGGCCAGCTCGACAGTGTCGACCTGGAGGCGCCGCTGTCCGAGGTGGTGGACTCGTACATTTGCACCATTTGCGGTCGTGCGTTCGCTCAGCGGGGCCACTGGGCCAAACACGTACAGGTCCACCGCAAGGTCGAGACCAAAGTCGACAAGTCGTACACGTGTGACATCTGCGGGAAGAGACTCACACGGTTCGACGGTTATCAGAAACACTTGAGGATCCACACGGGCGAGAAGCCATACTGCTGCGACGAGTGCGGCCGCAGGTTCAGCGACAACTCGAATTACAAACGACACATTCGCACACACACGGGACAGAAAACGCCGCAGAGCTGAGGCTGCGGGACAAGGACTGAGGACTCCTGTGGGACTGTCAGGGGATGGGGATCGAAAACTGGTTCCAGTTGAGAACCAGTTCAAAATCCATTGGAGTCATATTCCTCCGACGTTATCAATCCCTTTATCAACACTGGGGTGTTTTTGCACATTGCAACACAATGACGGCAAACTCGTGCGTCTACGCTGCTAGAAGAGTTTTCCTTCGACTAAGAAAACCTGAAGTCTCAGTTACAGGTTTTCACACAGAAAACTGGATCAGGACCTAACAAGGAAATCAATAAAGAATTGGACCAATTAGCAGAATTGAAAATGGCATTGGGATCAATGAAATCTCCTCCATTCCCATCCCTGTGACAGTTTAACCATCGTCAGAGGAGGTTTCATGCACATTACCCGGCGTAAAGACATGTCCCACCTGACGGATAGGAAATCTTTGCCCTCCCTCCACTCTGGTCTATTGACGATGACGATTATTCGGGGGTTCAAACTGAAACTTTATTATTAGTATGATTATTATTTCTGGCCCAATGACTGTAAAACATGAAAGTCCCACTGCTTTAGGAACCTCGGTCAACATCCATTCTTGTATTAGATATGCTATGTGCTAGGCTACGTCTGTCTTTAAAAGACAAGCACATTTCGTAGATGGTTAAAAAGTTCAAGCTGGCTAGTGAATTATCTAACAATATCTACCAGATGTAACTTGTTAGTTAATCAACATATGTATAATTAATGCTATTAATATAGATTATTTAGCTAGTGTTTTTGTCTGTAACAAATGATTAATGTACATTAACTTGCTAGTTAGCTGGCATTTTGCTAACATCGAGCCTAGCACTTTTAAGCCTATCTAAGTACAGGAAAGGAAAGTTGACCATGGTTCTGACCGAGGCTTTGCTCAACTGTTATTGGAGCACAGAGCAAAAAGGGGCGGGACCTAAGAAGGGTCAGTTGAGGGACAAAACTCAAATTTTTGGAAAGGCCACGCCCCTCATACTGTAAGTCTGACAGACGTTAAAAAAAGAGCACACTGAGCTTGTCTAATTTCAAGTCAGCTACTAAACCGTTGCTCCTATTGCTACCAAATCTTCTTTGGATATTGATTGGATAAAGCCTGTCAAAAGGTTGTTGATATCTTATTGAATTTGAAAGATATTGACCAATGAATTGTCACAAAACCTCGAGGATGTGTCCACATAAGTACCTGAAACATACCCTTAATGTTTTACTCAAATCAATCAGTAGGAGCTGCTACAAATGCCCCAAAAAATGGTCCAATCATTACAAACTTCACAGGACATGTTAGTTTTTCAAACCAGAGAAACACAAACTGGTTTACTGAAACGCTGATCGATCAGAGTCGGAGGAAAATTAACCGATCGGATTTTACAGCTTTTTTCTTGCGTCAACATTTCATTGTGAAAACTTTCAACATTTAAATGGTTTTCTCACATTTGTCCACGTCCGTGTGGACATGGACCAAGACAAGGAAGAAGAGACATATTGTATTTTTATATGCTATATATTTTAACAGACATTTATACACTGGAGGAAATGGCGATGTTGCCGTTTACAGATGCATCAAACATATCTGACTGTCAGGTGCAGCTCAGGCTTACCTTTGACTTGTTTGTGAAAGCCTGTGTCCACTCAAGATATTTTTATATTTTTATGTTGCTGGTAGTCGGCTGGGGGCAGAAGTCTGTAGCACAAACAGCTTCCATCAGTCAAGTTTTTTTATTAAGTCACAACAACACAGAAACCTAAAAGTCTGGAGTTTGTATTTGTATGTCAGGAACAGTTGAATTCAGGGCGTCAAATAAACATGGTTGCTGACAGTATATCAGTATTGCTGTAACAACTGACTTTTACTGAAGTAATAAACTCACATGATTGGAAACTCACTTTATGTTCCTCCCATTGATTCAAATGGTTTGACTTGTCTTTTAGTTTCAAAATCCCACATTTCACAACAAATTCATATTCATATTCCCGTGTATTTATGACCTCTCACTGCAACACATTTTAGTCAATTTTAATAATTTTATTTGCTGTGACACTATGGACTTTTTAAAAGTCTGTCTGGTGTGTTTTTGCCATCAAACCAGAATAATTTCCACATTAAAATCCTTAAAAAAGGCATCTACTCCTTCTACCTCATTAAATAATCATTAGAAACTTTCCAATTTTGAATTTGAAAACATCCTTCTAATGTCTGCACTTATCTGCACAGTGAAGCTCAAACATCTGTCTGTAGGAACAACAAGAAAAACTATATTTATTTTTAAGAAAATAAAAAAAAACACATTAAATTGGAATCAGTGCAGTCAACTGTTTGACCTGCTTATTTTACACCAGCAGATGGCAGCACAACACTTTATTTAAAAAAGCTTCTTTGTGATGAGGGAGTTCATGTTCAGCAATATAATTGTTTAAAACTCTAGAACTAGAACTCTTGTGTGTATATATATATGTACAGGTGTATATACACTACCAGTCAAAAGTTTGGACACACCTTCTCATTTAATGGTTTTTCTTTATTTGCATAACTATTTACATTGTAGATTCTCACTGAAGGCATCAGAACTATGAATGAACACATATGGAATTATGTAGTAAACAATAAAGTGTGAAATAACTCTAAATATGTTTCATATTTTAGATTCCTCAAAATAGCCACCCTTTGCTTTGATTACTACTTTGCACACTCTTGGCATTCTCTCGATGAGCTTCATGAGGTAGTCACCTGAAATGGTTTTCCAACAGTCTTGAAGGAGTTCCCAGAGATGCTGAGCACTTGTTGGCCCTTTTGCCTTCACTCTGCGGTCCATCTCATCCCAAACCATCTCGATTGGGTTTAGGTCAGGTGACTGTGGAGGCCAGATCATGTGTTCATTCATAGTTTTGATGCCTTCAGTGAGAATCTACAATGTAAATAGTCATGAAAATAAAGAAAAACCATTAAATGAGAAGGTGCGTCCAAACTTTTGACTGGTAGTGTGTGTGTGTATATATACATATATATATATATCTGTAAATGTACCTTGAGTTAATAAAGACATATAAAACCTGTACCATGCAATTTACAATTCAACAGTACTTGAATAGATCCTACTTTTGTATAAACAAAAACAATGTTTAACTGTTTTACAGTTAGTCTGTTTTGTTACATTCGGCCCCCTTTTGTAATAAAAAAAAGACACCAAGGGTCACTGAGTTCCAAAGTCCCAGGAAAACCCTGCTATGTTTTGCACTACACCTGGAACAACTTCTGGGACCTCATCCAAGGGCCCTTCAACCCAAAAAGGATTTTAGGAAGCCTCTTGAAGACTTCTTGCGCCTGAGTAATTCTGGTATTCCCCTTATGTACACTCTGCTCCTCTTTCAAGACTCTTGAATTCCTGGGACACCTTAAGGAACCCTTTCTACTTTCTCCTTTAGAATTAAATGGGACACACCGAGGACTTAGAGAACATCCTCAAGGATGTCTGGATGTCTTTCAAGCAATCCATAATTCTTCCAAGAACTACTGGGACACTGTCAATGACTGAGACTCTCAAAAAGATTCCTAGAACAACTTTAAAGACGTACACCCCCTCAATAACTTCAGAAAACTACAGGGACTACTGTAACATATACCAAAACTCAGTGACTCCCCGTAACCTTCTCTTGTGCCTCACCAAGGATACACAGGGAATCCCTCCCCAAGATTTAAGTAAAAAAACACATTGAATGTGACCAAAGATCACGGCACTGAATAACAGTATTTCAACAGAAGAGTGAGAGTTAACATTGAATGCTGTTTGACTCAGGAGGGAAAAGTGATTTATGTCCTTTGATTTATGCGACAAAAATGAAAATTAGAACAAAAAGAAAGAAAAATCCATTAACCCGCAGGGTTTTCTACTTAATCTACTGACAGTGACAGCAGAATATTAAATATGCTGCTCATTGTAACAAACTGGTTTTGGAATACTATTTTTATTAAGAACTTTGTCAAGGACCTCTAGATCCTCCTTAAGAACTACTAATCTCCTGAAACACCTCCAAGCTGTCTTGGGACATCCAGAAGCATCCCTGGGACGCGCACAAGAACTCCTGGACTTTTGGAACAACCTTCTTCTGGAGCTGCCCAAGGGGACTCCTGAAATACCTTTGAAGGGTCTTGCAACAACTTGAGAAGGACCTCTATCAATCTTGGAGAACATTCAGGGAATCCTAGAACATCCTGAAGGACCTCTGGTAGAAATCCCTCAAGGTCCCCTGGATCCTCATAAGCTGTTTTGGGTTGCATCAACAGATCCTGAAGCCTTGCCAAGGACAAGGGTACATCCCAGACAGTATGACTGGTTGTAAAAGTCTGTTGCAACTTTTTATTCTGTTTTTCACAATTTCAAAAGGAGGCCACATAAATAAGAATCACTCTACTTAGAGTAATATTCCACAGTAGCCTTTATTTACACCGTCATCCACATTGTTAATTAATAGCAGTAAGGTAAACATAATAGCCTTGACATTATTACATTGTCATTCTGGTGAGGCCCACCGAGTGGCGCTGTGAGTCCGTCATCAGTGGCTCACAGTGTCTCTGTTCCCCCTCCGTCTCTCTGGCTGAATCACAGAGAGCACGCTTTGAGGACGGGAACCGGGAACCACGAAAGGAATAAACAAATTTATTTTGAAGGTTACAAGTGCATCCTCATACAAAAACCCTTTTTATAAAATGAGCAATAGTGTTTATTATCTGCAGCGTTCCCGTAGTAGCACCCAGTGAAAACATTTCTAAAGGACCATAAATGAACTCCAGCATCTTTTTTTTTTTCAACAGCCTTTTGACAGTTTCTATTCAGAACAGATGGAGATTTACGTTCCTCACTTTGTCTTTTTAGTATCCGAATGCTGAAAAATCTGATGTTTTTGTCTGCTTCAGAACCTGACTACAATTGTATTTCAATGTAAAACATTTATAAAAGGTGACTTCTGTTCTGTGTACAGCAAGGTGAAAAATACTGACCTCTTACACTTAATTTGTAGGAATACCAGACTGGCTGTTTTTATCTGTAACCAGTTCAGTTTGAAAGTGACAATACTGCTGAGAGCCCCTATGGAGCGATTTGAAGGAACACACAGGTAGTTTTTTATTTTTGAGCCAATTAACTACAAGTTGCTTTTTCTTTACATCTCCACTGACCGTTTTCTAGAGCTGGGTATCGTTTGAAACGCCAGTTTCTGTGCCGATACCACAGTAATACTTTAGTAGATATGTTTGAAAAATACCCAAGCATTTGTTCAAGACCTTTGTCTAAGTAAAGTCTAAAATTGGGAACTACCTGAAGGAAGAAGATTTCTACAGGATTAGACTCGACAATCAAGGCCAATTTTTGGTATGTGACAGTTTTCTGACACATTTTGGTTGGTACCAGAAAAGTTCTTCGGTTTGATACTCAGCAATACTGTTCTCTGAAGTTTGTTAAACAAAATCGTCCAAACTAGGGCTTTAATTTTTCGACTGAAATTGATTGTTAGTCAGTGAAATGTCCGAAAATTGTGAAAAATGCTCATGTCCTAAAATAAAACGGAGAACACACAGGAGAAGCATAAAAATGAAAAATCTTTTAAGTACTAATCCAAATTCAAGTTCCACCTACTGGCTCTTTATTCTCATGGCCTTCTTTCATGACAGCCCTTGAATTCATCAACACTTTGTTACCTTTATGTTGTCATTTATTAAAAGTACAGCATCATTTTCAGAACAGAAAGTTTTTAATTTTCAAGAAGCAATCATTAATGTTTTAACATTCAGGTCGATGTATTACTGTTACTGTTTCAGATGTTACATTTCTAAAATATTTCACGAGCTAACTGTGCCCTTGAACCCACCAAGGAAAATGGTCACTGATTTGAGCTGCATACCCACTCATAGAAAAGGGTTATGTATAAAATAAGGATGACTTAGTGTTCAATTGTCTACATGCAGTTAGTCTCTGCAAGTTGACTTCCATTGAAAAGAGGAAAACAGAGGGAAACCAATTTAAATAGTACTTTGTATGTTTGAAAAATTGGTCAGCTTATGTTAAATAGACGCAACTCCAATTAATGTGGTAGAAAATTCTAAACCAGCAGCGCATTCCTTTAAATAGCACAAAAAGACCAGACATAACTCATTCTGTGGCACCAACATTTCTTTCTTATTAGAATCCTTTTAACCTTTTCAAAATGTTATTTCTTCCTCTGTAGACACTTGAGAAACAATCAAATCTGCCGCACAGAGGTGAAGATCAGGTTGGCTGTTCTCGTGTGAACACGGCTTGTTAATTTAGACTTTGATTCACACAGGCAGCTTCTTCCCAGTGACCAGAACAACACTAATCTCCGATAACTATCAAACACTTCAGTCAGCTGAGTGATTCAGGCCGGGAGATGAAAGAGGATGATGTAACATCTCCAAATACACAAATCCTCTCTTTACGTGAAGTAGAAATCAATACCAAACCGCTGCTTTGTCCTCCTTTTATTAAATCTGAACAAAACGATCACTCAGTCTGGGTTGGAGACGCCTGATGCAGTTTTACATCACGTCTCATTAGGCAGGCGCTTCACATCCCATATCCCCCCCCCCACTCCCTCCTCCCATCCGCTCCGCTCGACCGTCTGGTGCTGGCGGACTCAAAGTTGCATCATTTGGTGCAGAGGCTGCTTGCCTCCCGTCTCCAGCAGACAGGGATACTTCACTAACACTCTGCTGCAGCATCACCGCGGCTTCGTTATTGCTTAATCTGTGCCGGGAGCGTGCGTCCGGCGCGCTGAGCGAGTCGGATAAAACTAAAACCGGCTGCTGGATGTTTATCTGGTTCACCGGCAGCTGGGAACCAGACACTTAAAAATTCACAGAAAAAAGTTTGTTTTAATAACTGACATCAGGCTACTGTTTATTGATTTTTGTCTCTCAAGCCACATTACCCGAAACTCATTTTCCTGTTTCGATATTTCAGAGAATCCCTGACCGGGATCTAAAGAGCTCAGTGTTTATATCAGTTAACAGATCGGACTGGTGCTTTACATGAAATTCATCCTTTCTAAGTCAGGTAACATTTGAGAAAGCCTCGATCAGAACCTCTGTCAACTTCCTTTTTTTTCTGTACTTGAATATGCTATGTGCTAGGCTAATCTATGTTGAAAAGACAAAAACCAAGGCTCATTGATGCACGTGGGGAGTGAAGGCTGGCCCGTGTGGTCTGATCCAGCAGACAAGCTACTGTTCTCAAACTGCTGAAACAGTTAATGCTGGTTCTGATAGAAAGGGGTCAGAACACACAGTGCAGAGCAGTCTGCTGGTCTGGGACCAGTCAGGGAGTCCAGTGCTCACAATGTTAGTGCTGATTGGTGTATATATTAGGCTAGGGGCAAGGACCCCAAAAATACTTTTGGAGACACCTCTACCGGAGCTGGAACAAAGCACAACCATGTTTGTTACATTCTCCAAGATCTCCCATTCAGGAAATGGATTCTTGTATAAAAATATTTTACTGCAAAGCCGTAAAGCCAGGTCGAATGGGAGATGATACACCTGAACTCATGTAAACTTTGGCTGGGATAGTCCCAGGACCACCAACAAGGGTTTGCTAGACAGGTTTGACTATATATATGTATAGTCACATCTTAAGTTAGCCAATGTTAGCAAAACCCTAGCTAACTAGGTAGCTAATCTACATTAAACTAGCTAGCTCCTTACAACTGATAGCTAATGTAAGATGTGACTGTCTTTTCAACATAGATTAGCCTAGCATATCGAAGTACAGGAAAGGAGGAAGTTGACCAAGGTTCAAAAAGGGGCGTGGCTTTGGAAGGGTAAATTGCACAAAGTGTTGTTTAGTGTAAGAGTTTATCTTTGGAAACTGTTTTAACCAGTAACCATTAACCCAAGGTCCACTTACTAGGTTTAGCACAGTTTTTTATCCACACATCATGGTCTTCTTCAGCACACACACAAAATACAACCGTTACTGTGACGGGATGATGGATGGTAAATGGTAAATGGACCTGTACTTGTATCGCCTTTCTAGTGTTCCGACCACTCAAAGCGTTTTTACACTACGTGCCACATTCGCCCTTTCACACACATTCACACAGTGATGGCAAAGTCCATCGAACAGAAACTACCTCATTCATGCACATTCACACACCAATGCACAGCATCAGGGGTTCAGTATCTTGCTCAAGGATACAGCAGCAGGAGGCAACGACTAACAAAAGTCCATTGGCTGAGGAAGACCGTGAGATATGGTTTTAAACTCTGAAAACAACAGGTAAGTAGACCATGAGTTCATTTATTTTCTTCAAATCAAAGTAACATTTTTATATTACTGCAGACCATCAGTGTTTAGACTGATTACCTTCCTTTCTTCCAGACATGTGAAAATTAGTAATTTTGCATCAGAGATAATCCTTCACAGTGAAAATGACTCCAGACAGGGCTGGACGATGTGTACAGCACATTGTGTTAATCAAATCATTGCAGCATTTTAAAAATGTTTATCTCTTTAGCTGAAGGATGTGGTAATATCAGCCCATATCTATATAGGAGAGCCTGTAAAATTTGTGTCATAATGATAATGCTTTGAAAGTGGTGCAGTGCTTAAAAATAAGGTGTTTCACAGTTTAGTGTCCCTCAACTCTATGTCAGCATTATCATCGTATCATGAGCAGGAACTTGGTGAGTGTCCAAGGATTCCTTGGTCTTTGACATTTTTGAGTCAGTTGCTGATTAAAACAGTTTTGATGCAAGAAACTTTATAAACTTTATTATGGAATTCCGATCGTCCTGACGTATTGTTTGTGTTCTGGCTTGATTTTCTGTTCTGACATATCTCATTAATTCAAAGCTTACTGTCCATTCTTAGATGTCTGAGCCTCACTGAACTCAACATCAAGGGCTTCTTCACCACACGATAACTGAAAGGGGAGTGAATTTTGCCGGGATTAAAATTTTTTGCCGCTTTTAATTGATCTGCTGTTGCCTTTTTACTTCAAATGAGAGACACTACTGATGTTTTCTAACAGCTGAATACTCTGACATTAACGTCAATACTTTTTACTATTATTATTATCTGTCTTGAGGTGGTTGGGATTCTTCAATAACTGTTGTTTTTTGCATTAAGAAGGTCAGAAATCAGAATCAATACAAAACCATATGTTTTGGAACGTGGTCAGCAGTAATATAAAGTGTGCCACCAGTACGGTTCTTTATAGATGAGTCTTGGAAACAACTGCGAGATGACAGTGAGTCTCCGTTACACATTCAAGCTTGAGTAACTTTTCCAAATCTAAAGATCACATTCATTTGCCAGACATTTCCAAACTTAACCAAATCCGCACAGCAACACGTTTAAGCAACGCGGGCTGTCAACTCCGTCAGCTGTTGGAGTTGCAGGGTTTTGTTTTGTATGCAGGTATTTTTGTCCTGGCCGCAGCCTCTTATTGCTGTTGCTGGCTGTGTTGCTCACTTCCCCTGCCTGTTGCCTGTGTATTATACTGTTAACATTTGACCTCTCCACTTGTTTGGTTTCTCGTTCTGCAGTTTCAGGCCGAGTGCCCAGAGAGAGGAAGCAGCCACAGAATAAAAAAAGTATTCTTGACCGCTGACAAACACTGGGAGGTAAAAAGTAAAACAGGAAACACCAGATTCCCTTCACAGTCGGGTATTTATAGACCATCTGTGAAGAAACACTCCCACAGACTGTGGTCGCACTGGAAAGTCTGTAACAGTGAATTAATGTGAAGCAAAGTGGCTCAACGTTCACCCAAATTACCACAAAAATAAACACTCTTCCATTGAGGTATCTAGCCATGCACATGGTTTTTATTTGTCCACAGTTTTTGAGAGAGACAAGGGTTGAGCGAGTACTCGGTGGAAACTAGTATCCGGTACAGGTAATCTACGTTTTACAAGTACCAAAGAGTAAAATGTGTTGTTACATAGTTGTAAATATACGAACAAATAGTTCTTTTACATTTATGTTTCTTGTGATAAAAAACATTTCTCTCAAGCTTTACTTATGTAAAGTTTTCAAATAAATATAGCAACTTCTGATCAACGCGTATCAATTTAAGGCTGGTTGAACAGATACAAATAATGGCGTACTCGCTCATCCCCACAGTCCAGTAACCTGTTAAGTGTTTTCATTCACACTATTTACAACTGAAGAAATAGTCCTTCTAAAAATTGCTTCAGCGTAAAAACAATCTGAACTGCATGGCTAGAAACTTGCTAAAGCAGCGGTTCCGAAATTGTTTTAAACCATATCGTTGTCCCCAAAATACAAAACAAATAAGTTGATAATTTACATGTTACATCAGTGTTACAAGTTAAAGGTTAGAACTGAGATTTAAAACATTGATTTAGCAGCGAACAACCATTCTCTATATAAAGATACAGAGTCACATGGTGTCTCTCTCCCTCTGCCTGTGTTGTATCGCAGCCTCTCTGTGGTTTGTTTCCATAGCCGGTCTGCTCCGACTGAAACTCCTGTTTTTATCATCTATGTCGGTGAATTACAGATTTATTTCCACCAAACCGGAGTTGGTGATTGTTGGAAACACTAACAGATAAGTTTGGTGAGTTTTATTTTATTTCTGTCCAGTTTGATGTGCATTTTATGATTAGGTAAAATTACTTGTTTTGTCAATGAAGTCTGGCCGGCCATAGCGCCAACTGTTCCTATTTGAGATGCTGGTGCTCTTGTGCAACATTCAGTGGAAAGGGGATTTCGCATATATAACTTTTAAACAGATATGGCTGTATGTAGGTTGTCATTCACTGGCTGCAGACTCTTAGTTTTGCTACTATGGTAACTTTAATGTTTATTGCTTATTTTTCTCGTCTTTTTGACATATTTTAAGAATCAACATAAATTTGTAGTTAACGAAAATGTCAATTTTGGTAAATTGTACAGTAGAAACACTGAAAATGAACGACTCTTACACTCCCTTGGTACCCCAGGGGGGCAGGACACCCACTTTGGGAACCACTGCACTAGAACTAAATAAGAGAATTCATCTTTTTGTATTTTGGGTGAATTGACATTTTGAAAAAAAGCTGAATTTTATTATACTTTTCATTCTGTGAGCTGTCTTTTCTTTCCCCTTTTCTGTACTACCGTAAGCTGTAAATGACTACAGAGCTCAGTAAGGGATGAGAAAACATTTTTATTCCCTCAAATGTTTTAATTAATACCCTGAAGTTAACAGCGGACTTGATGGATTAAATACAGTTTCACTTTATCTTTCACTTCCCTTCAAACATATTTTATAGATCCTGAAGATGCCAGTTCATGAAAATTCTGCTCTGAGGTTTCAGAGCTCTTCACACATAAAGCCGGATGCAAAAGAGAGAAGGGAAGGGGCACATTAAGTCATTTGAGGGTAATTATTAATTCAAGAGAATCAATTAAATAATCTGAACATACAAATTACTAAATTGAAGGAGTGTATTGAGTGCATAAATTTCTAATTTGAGGCAGGCTTTTATCCTCCCTCGAACACCTACTGGGCTCCGTACAAAACACCGTCAACCTTAGTGCTTTCTTTGTTTTTCAGATACCAATATGGTATAAAAAAGGAACATTCATCTGGTTTGTATGGACTGTCAGGGTGGCTGTTGGATTTTGACATTTGGATTTAATACCACAGCTCATACAGCATAACCATCTTTTCCTCAAAGTGCTGCTGATGTGTTGGTGTACAAAAATCTCCATCTCTTGAACATCCCGTCATCTTGAAGCATTGGATGTGATAACAAAAACCTCATTGTAGTTTTTTTTTCTGTCCCTTTGGACTTTGACAGAAAAGGAGAGTGAACCGTCCTCTCAGTTTTAATTTTCCAGACCAGATTCAGAGGGACAAACAGACTTCCAAAGGAAAAGAAATACCCTCTGGGCGTTGTTTGACATTATATGACTTTTGTTTGATTTCTCCTGTGGAAAGAAATGCCATCGTTTGACTCAGAGTCCTGGAGAAACCTCCAACACTCCCAGCGGTCCCAGATTCAGTTCATGTCAGATCCGCAGCAGTCCGATTCCCTGCCTTTTTGAATCTGTGCAAATGAAATCCGGGCCCCGTGCCAAGGTGCAACAACTGGGGACATTAGATCAAAGCACTCATAAGAAAACTGCATTAATCAAGAATTTTTGAGGCCACTTCGAGCCTTGGGGACTCCTTTTGAATCATTAACATCTTTCGCCCTCCTTTTGGAATGTTTCTCAGACTCGTCTGAGCCGGTTTTGATCCGCAGTATGTTGTGTGGGGAAAGTCGCCACGAGCGGCCCCGCCTACCCGAAGAAATGAGTCAGAGATCTTGTTTATTTGTCGATCCTCAGAGTGTCTGTCTGTGTGGCTCTACTCTTTGAGCAAAGCAGCTACAATGCAGCGGTCGTGACTCAGACAGGCGACGGACGGCGTCCTCTCAGCAGCAGGAAAATAACCACAACTGAAGGGTCGTAATGAGGAGTGATGGGAACAAAAAGCTCTGAAGTCTCTTTTGTGTCTTTTCGTCCCATCAATGCCCTCATTTTGTTATTTCTCACAAGCCCTGCAGACACGGAGAACTTTGCTTTTTGAGGACTGTAGGAGCCATGTTGGAATGGCACCACTTCCTCTTTCAGTCTCAGTAGTTGTATTTTCCTGCCTCTGCTACCGGTGATGTCGCTGTGTTCGGAAGGAACAGCGGTTTGGGCGGGACTTGGGGTTTCAGCGACGCTGTTCTCCGGACGATTGCTGCCCGCTGCACATGTGGCCCTTCGCTGTAACTGTGCTGCCGTGTCAGGCAAGTGTTAGCGATCGATGGCCGCTGGTTCTCGTCGTTGGTGTTCCCATTAGCCGCCCCGCTCGCACCTGGGGGGCCGTTGCTGCTGCTGTTGGTGTTCATCCTGGCTAAAAAGTGTGCGTGCTGTGCCCCCCGTTGGTTGAAGCTGTGGTTGCGTGGCACAGCGCCGCCCCCACTGCCCATCTTGATGAGGGAGTGGCGCTGAGAGTGGTGGCGTGTCACTGAGACGCTGCTTCCTCCGGGTCTCTCTGGAATCACCTGCTGCTGGAGCGGAGTTGAGGCGGACGAAGAGGAGGAAGAAGGGATGGAGGTGGAGGAGGTGGGGTTGTTGGAGGATGAGGAGGAGGAAGAAGAGGAAGTGGCAGATGATGAGGTGGAGTTTTGAGTAGGTGCGTCCAGGCGCTTGGGGAGGCCATCCCTCGGCAACGTAGAGGTGCTGTAATACGAAGCAGATTCTGTTTCGGGGATCTGCTGCTGGTGATGGTGACTGCTACTGCCGCTACTGTTATTGTTGTGGTGGTTGCTATGGTGATGGCTGTGGTTGTAATGGTGGGTGCGGGTCTGGCCGTGGTGAGTATGATGATGGTGGTGATGATTATTATGTCCTCCAGAAGACGATGAGGAGGGCCCGGGGAATAGAGAGGATGAGGAGGTGGAGGTGAGAACCTTGATTCCTCCGGTCCCTGACGCGCTGACCTCATGGATGTGTTTGAGCAGCTCATCCAGTGCCGACACGTCCACCACTGTCTGGGGAAGGGACTGCTGGGAGTGGTGGTGATGTGGGACTCCCCCGCCACCTCCACCTCCTCCTGCTCCTGCTGCTCGCTCATCATTGGAGATTTTCCTCTCCTCTGGGAGGTGCAGTGAAGTCGAAGAAGCACCTGCTCCATGAGCTGCTCCGTTGCTGAAACTGTTGCTGTGGTGATGAGAGAAGGGAAACACCTGTTGGGTCAAAGAGTTCCCAACAACGGCCATGAAACCCAGACTGGATCCAGAGCAGCTGGGCCCAGACTGGGGGTTGTTGTCCTTGGCGTTGTTGCAGTTCTGGTTCTTCTCGTACTGATGGTGCCGCAGGGCCTTCATGTTCTTAATGGGAAGCTCCGGAGTGGAGTCAGGCGTGGGCAGGCCGGACAGCTCTCCATCACCCTGAGACAGAGACTAAACAGAGGTTAGACCGATGGGTTTTAAAACATTTTCAAGTCAAAGAGGGCATCGTTTTAAAAAAACGTTTGTGCTCGGTCTAAAAGCTCTACAGGAAATACGACTGATCTTTTACATAAAAGCCACAACCTCTGGCTGTGAATAATACCCAGTTCCACTTAATGTACATCTACAATCACCTTTCAGCTTTGCGATTCGTCACTATAAATTCTTGCCACCAAGCTTCTAATGATAGGATAAACGGACCACCATGGCATTAGAGCTGCAAATAACAACTTCATAAATCAATTAAGCAATCGTTACTGCCCATCGCAGTTTCACAGAGCTAACCATTACAAGAAGGGACCAGCTGCAGCCCTCCCCTCCTTAAGCCCCTATTTCCAGTCCAGTACAGTTAGCATATGCAACAGTGCACCAGTAAGAGACTTCCTGCGTTACGAGAAAAGATCTGTGTTGCAACAATCGTCTGCTACTTTAGTCCCGGTGACAACGTCAAACTCTGTTCAAGAGCTGCACCTTGTCTCTCTGACTAGGGGGCAGCCCTAGTTTTCACAGACTAAGATGAGTGGTAAATCGACCTTTAGGTATAAAATCAGTTTATTAAATGCAACAACAGTATTTTATCATGAACCAAACCAGGCTGACTCCGTGATGAGCTGTCCTACCTGGGAGAGGCTGAGGTCGGGGTCTCCCAGCGGCAGGCCCTGGTGTCCGGGGGTGTGGAGGTGAGGCTCCGACCGGCCATTGGGGATGAAGGAGCTGTACATCTTTGGGGTGGACACGTCCAGTTTGTCCTCCTGAAAGAAGACAAAAGAAAAATTGGAATGAGAGACAGTTTCTCTCTGCTTTCCCCGCCAGAGGTGGATAAACTCAGGGTGAAAGAGAAAATATATACATTGATTTTTAATCTTTAAAAAACAACAACCTGAGCTGTGAGGAAAAAACTTTTTCAGCAGGTGTTTCATGGTGCTTTTCAATTATCATATTCCACACCATATAATGAGGAACATTTGAGCAGAGGGGTCAGAGGTCAGCAGGAAGCCAGCAGCAGCACAGAGATTCAGTTTTTGCTCAAGGACACTTTGAAAAAGGGATGGAGTTCTTAATGAAACAGCCAATTGTAATGAGTGAATAAAAGACTGAAGTGAAGCTATTAACTTATCGTGTCCCCCCAGAGAGAGGATGAATATTAACACTGCTGCTCAGAATTCAGCTGATTATGTCGCCACTTCTCAGCTCGTTCTTCGACAGAAACCAGACAAATCTGCTGCAAATGTCTGTAGTGTAGACGAGGTAACGTGTTTATTCTCCTCAAACTGAGAGATGCTTCAGGTGCATGTATTCACAAATGAATCTGCACTTTCAACACACAATGACAACAGATTTGCTGATCTTTTCTGAAACCATCAACACTTTTTATATAAAAACGAAACCCTGAATATCGACCGAAAGGCGAAAAGTTGACCGAATGATATGCCTTGAATGACGCCCCTTATCTGTATCATTAAGCAAAAATGCATAATAACACAATAAAATACATAAATACATTTTCATTGTGTGTAAAAGTGTGGGCACAGACAGGGACTTCATGGTGCATTCAAGTGGACCTCGTAAACTCTGTTATCTGAACTCGAATGGCCTCAAGAGCTGTTTAAAATGGGACACTTTCTATATTTTTCTTATTTTCTTTGAGTAAAATAAATCTTTCATTTTTTTAATAAAATGCGAGTGTTCGTATTAAAGCAAATTCAGTAACAGAAACGTTTGAATCTCTTTGGGTATCACTGCTGTAAGACACAATCCAAGTATGGCAACTTCAGTTTCTGCTAAATGTCTGTTTTATGTCACTATTTTTTTTATCATAAATCAATATTTTCTGCTCTCTTGGTGAGAGTTTCTGGTTGGCAGCAGCCTCTCCTTCACCATAACGCATTGCATCATACATTGTCCCTGTCCAAAGAGTCCACCCACCTTCGGCTGTCCATCCAGCAGTCCGTTGAGCTTGGCGAGGGATCGCAGCGATAGGGCGTGAGGTAGCGACACTTCTGGGTCTTTCCCCATTCTCCTCGCTCGCTGAGCAGCGCTGCGGCTGCAGTAACACGACACAAGGAAACCTGACAAGATGGCGCCCAGGAAGAAGGCCACCAGCACGCAGGCGATCAGAAGGGTGTAGTGGACATTTGCACCAACCCGCTGGTCCATCTCTGGCAGACGACGAACACCTGGAAGACACAGGAGGAGGGAAAAGAAGGTTATGCACCTTTTTTATTACTGCCAAGAACCAGGAGTTGTGAAGGTAATCCTCCATCCATCTGACCAACAAATCGCCAACAGTGCCTGGCTTGTCAAACAAAGGGTTAAATCAAACAATGAACAACACCTTCGCCGGCAGAAGGAGGGATCTGTGGTGGGACGAGAATACGTTCTGCTTAAAGGAAGAAGACGAAATGGATGAGAGAAGGAGGAAAACAGAAGGAGGAAGAAAGGAAGGGAGAGACAGAGACGAGGATTGGACCTAATGAGAAAGAGGTGGTTCACAGGTGAGACAGGATGATGGAGGAGGTGAAGAAGGTGAGATGAGAGGAGGAGAAGAAAGGAAGAGGGAAAGACTATGATTGGATCTGAGAGAGAAAGGATGGAGGGATGGGAGCAGCAGGAGGAGGAAGAGAAATGAGCACAGGAGAAAGGACAGAGGGATGAAAGAGAGAGAGTTTATTGTTTGGCAGCGTTCGCCTCGTCAGGTCCAGATACAACATCAAAGCCTCTCAGATACAATGACTCATCAGTCTGTCCACCACACACACACACACACACACACACACACACACACACACACACTCACACACACTCACACACACACACACACACACACACACACACACACACACACACAGAGCGCCCGGCAGATTAATGCTGCAGTAATCAATAATACACAAACGCTGCTCGTGTGGAGTTAGATTTTAGTAAAGAATCAAGTGTTACGTTACATATGTATGTGAGTATATTTTATATTTATATATTTATATTTTATGTTTAATGTATACGTGTTTAACTTTATGTTTGTTTCACATGTGGATTCCATGAAGTTGATTATGTATTTTGATGTTTTATGTCTGTTTTTATGCATATATTTGATCTACTGTAGATACACTGTTATTGCTTCTGGTTTCAATATTTTTGTTTTTTAACATATTTGTTTAACATGTACATTTACTTATTTACTGTAGATTTGTTTAGAACAGAGGGCTCAAACTCAAGGTTCAACGTTCAAGTACTGCAAGAAAGCATCATTTTTATACATTTTTATATAATCTTTACTTATAAATCCCTGAAACCTGCTTTCTTCCTGTCAAGCCTTTGCTGGCATTTAAACACAACAACTTTCTAAAATAAAACAATTGTATATAAAGGGGAACATTTTTAATAATTACAAATAATCTTGCAGGTCGGATTATATTATTATTACATTTTTGACATCATCTAACGTGCAAGAAATGACCCCTGTGCCAGCAGTTTCAGTTTTTCATGTTACTGGGAAACAACGGGAAAAACAATATTTTTATAGACTAGTTTTCACTGCAGTAGCATCTAGTGGCCATTAAACAAACTGCAGCTGAACACACTTACACACAGACTTGTCGTTGTATTTGTGTTTGTGGTCTTTGTGTTTTTTCTGACAGCACTCGGTGACTGCAGCCGGCGCTGAGTCACCGCTGCAGTCCGTCCGTGTGATTAAGCACTTTAACAGATGAAAGCTGTGACTTTCAGGTAGCTTTTGTTTGTGTTAACCTCTGTTTTATCCTGACGGCTTGATTGAGCACCCACGGGAGCTCTTTTCATTACTGCCGCCCTGCTTCACATTCACAGCCACGCACTCACACCTGGCAGCCTCCCAGACCTGAGACTGACGGGTTGATTTACCTGCTGACACTCACAGTGCATTTTACAACGTGCTTTGAACGGTCTCAGCCAGCTGACAGGTGGTTGGAAATGTTCCCTGAAAATGTGGGATGATTTTATAAGGTTTCACTTCAAACTCTTTTTCTTCAGGCTCTACAGTGAAAGAGACTGTCAGATGTTGATGGATTATTTATATAAAGCTAATGTTAAGGGCCAAATGGATAGCACATGTATTTTAGAGTGTCTGAAATACTTTTACATATATAAAGATTTATTTTTTTAAGTTTATGGATTTCACATCACATGACCTGTTAGGAACAATATTTTGTTATTCATGATTGATTGAAATAAATGAATAAATTGAATGTATTTCCCCAAATTAACCTGGTTATAAGCCATGTTTAAAACTAAAACTGAGTTTAAAATGCCCATTATAATGTGGAAGGCTTCCTTTCAGGAAGTTGCAATCAGATCAGTCTCTAAATTCTGCGCGACCTTGCAATGTCCAATCACCATAACTATTGTACAAATTTCATCAATGACAGCAGCCTCCCCTGCAAAACGTTAAGCCATACATCACTAAACTACTAGTGATTTTAGTGTCACTGGAACAAGTTGCCTATGATTTATAATGAATTATACAAAAATAAATCACAAACATTATTGCAATTGTCACTTTTACTTGCAATTTAATTACAAAGAAATGCCTAAAAACATTGACATTAAAGAAGCTGCCATTAAATCAGGTAATTTAGGCTGCAGCAATTCCCCCCAAAAAGCCAGTGAAATCATGGAGGAACTGCTACTACGAAAACCAAGCTTGAGCAGCTTTCTGAGCTACGTCAGCTCTCACACAGACAATAATTACATTGGAGTCAATTGTTTCTTTTAAATAAAACTCAAAGATTTGACACATTTCCAGAGTTTGAAGGGCCTGCCGACTGACTGACTCAATTAATACCTTAGTAAAGACATAGTTTCATAATTCATATTTCATATGGAGTATTAAAGTAAGTGAAACTTATTTTTTCTATTTTCTGACAAGATTAGCTTTGAAAGTTAAATTGAGTCTCAGGTATTAGTTAGAACAGACGACTGAATGGTCGAGTGAAATTCAGATTAAATAGTAAATTAACTGTACTTGTATTGCGCCTTTCTAGTCTTCCGACCACTCGTGCTTTTACACTACATGCCACATTCACCCTTTCATACAGGGATGGCAGTCATCACAAACAGAAACTAATCCATTCATTAACATTCACACTGATGTTCTCTCCGACATGCAGTGGGAGGATCGAACCGCCAACCTCCTGATTAGTGGACGACCTGCTCTACCTCCTGAGCCACAGCCGCCCTAATTAACTTTTTTCGCAGGAGGACAAAAAAGAAAAGGAGGGCTACTTATTCTGAACTTGAGTTAATTAAGGAAGACTTTACTATTTGTATGAAATTACTAATAGTAGCATGTATCTGTCTTCCCATTAAAACTAACACCTGTGCAGCTAATATAAATAAGCTGAAGAGCTAATTCTGAGACAGAAATCATGGCAAGGTTCTAGTTGAAAGGTGGTACAAAAATATGGGCAAATGTAGGAGGAGACTATCGTTGTGTTTACATGGACTTCTGTCACTGGGTTACTTTCTGCGTTTTCTGCAGAAATCTGGATCTTAGACATCATCTAAACAGGAAGTTGGGGGATTGGAGGAAAAAGACTTAGTATCCCAGTGAAAGAAGAATGAAGGGATGAAAGGAAAGGTCCTTACAGGTAGAGATGTTTCCAATCAAAATAATTTAATTTGATGATTGGCATTAGTCAAAATGAACACTAAGTAGCCTCTAAAACAAAGAAATGTCCCCTAATTAACCTGGCTATAAACAAAAATAACATGGAAGGTTTCTTGTTCTTGCACAATTTATTTCAAAATCTCAGCAGGGTTTGTTTATCCACATCTGTATTACCAAACTTTTGTTTATCAAGTGCTGGCTGGCAAGTTAGAGCAGCTTTCTGAGCTACATGAGCTTTCACACAGGCAATAATAAAATCAAAGTCTTTGTCTGCACAGCTGAACACCGTAAGAACAATGCTTTCTTGAGTTCTTCCAGTAGCTTGGTTTCTTGTGTGCATGTAAACATACTGAATAAGTATTTGAAACATACAGATTGAGTGATTAAAAGAATATTATGCTGCAGAATCTGGTTGAGAAACATTTTTTCTTATCTTAGTCTGTATTTGAATCCATGCAAACAATGCTGCAGCCACCTTTCAAGCATTCAGGAGTTGAGTTTTTAATGCTGAAGGATTTATATTTGGGTAGAGTATCACTTTAAGGACCTGCTAACTCCCTGTTATTATTTCATAGTTCAGTTAAATTGCTCAGAAGGAGCAGCATGTCCCTGAAAACCTGATCAAAGGGCCAAAAATACCCGCAGAAACAAAAAGCTAATTTCATGCCCTGCACTGTTGGCCATCCGGGGGTTTTATTCCCCGCTCCCCCGCCAGTCCGGGACTCGAACTGGCAACCGTCTCTAACCTCAAAGCCAGCGTTGCCTCGAGGCCTCTGAGGCTTCGCTTTGATACAAGACGCCATGGAACAAATTTGTCTTTTATGCAAAATACTGTTGAAATAGAGCAAGTAGTCATTACACGTCCAGTCAGGATTAACACACACACACACACACACACACACACACACACACATCCCCCTGTGTTCAACAGAGACGATTTCATGTTCGTTATTTCCACTCTTTCATCTCCGTCCTTCACTCTGACAGTTATAAATAGGATGATGGAGACACACAGAGAAAAATATTATGCTAATTACAGCCCGACATGGAAATGTTTCATTCTCTCTCCCTCTCTTTGTTTCTTTCTCTCCTCCGTCAGTGTAAAAGTTTCTCTTTCTCTCTGCTGTCAGTCTGAATTGTAAAAAAAAGTTTCTGGGATCGGGGCTGAAATCTTCTGGGTGAAGTCTTTTCTCACTTTTCTGTCACCGTTTTCTGTTTTCTGTCAGTTGAAAACTTAAGAGTATTCTTTAACTCTCTCTGCCTGCTTTCTCAACCACAGAACTTCTTCCTCTTTCATCTCTCTGCCTTACATTTCTTTATACTTCTCTCCATCTCTCTGTCTTGCCTTCAATCACCTTCCTCTCTTTCCTCGACTCTTCTCTCTTTCTGTCTTAGAAAACTAACAAATGAATCATTCTAACTGGATTCAGTAAAAAGACAAATTAGTACCTCCAGGATGTCTGGGGCTTTTTGGGGGGATTGTTGAAGACTAGAATGCCTGAAATATTGCAGTGTTTTTAGGCAATGAAATTGTAA